AATATTAATTTCGGCCGTATGAAATCCATTGTTTAGTTTTGAAGTAGATTATGCACTATATTTAAATAATCTCAAATATCTTATTATTAGCTAGATAGATTTTTTCAAAAATCCCCACAAATGGAGGCATCCAGTACATAATTATGTGGTACAAAGCATTTTAGTGTTGAACGCTCTGCAAGGCTAAATTTATTTTCTAAATGAAATCAAATATTTCATCAAAATCACGTGTTATGACGTCCGATCTCACTAAAAATTGCATCAAATATTAATTCAATCTTTATGTGACTTATGTGCAAAAAAGATTTGCAATCGGATAAAAGACGTTTATGCACTAGCGTTCCAAAAGTGGAAGGTAGCGGTCAAGCGTGAGGGGGTCCAGCCACCTTAAGTTACCTGCATGTTATTGAAAATCATTAATTATTAGAGTTTTTGATTCTGCAATACCTTGGATACAAAATCTTAACGCTAGCAGAATGTCCATATATATACTAGGCAGGTTAATTTAGTAGTAATGAAAATAGAAGCGTCTATATGGACAGCTGGGTTGCTGTTCAAAGCAGTGCTTGACAAGTGCACTTACTACTACTGTACTTCAACTTTTTCTTAAGTTAATAATCCTGGTTGGTCTTTATTCTTAAAGATATGGATGTGTGGAGGGCAATTGGAAATAATTCCATGTTCTCGTGTTGGTCATATTTTTCGCCGTCGAAGACCATATGGTTCAGACTCAAAAGGAGACACAATGGCTCAAAACTCCATACGACTTGCCGAAGTGTGGTTGGATGAATACAAGAAGTACTTTTATGATGTCCGCAAAGATCTAATTGGAAAATCATTTGGTAACATAACAAGTAGATTAAACCTGAGGAAAAGACTTAATTGCAAGTCTTTCAAGTGGTATTTAGAAAATATCTACCCAGAGATGTTGTTTCCTAATAAAAGATCTGAAAAGATAGTCCATCTTCCACAAAGGAGGAATCCAGCTACTGTATGGAAAGGAAAGGTAGAATTTAATTGACAAGAATTATTATTAATTCATCTGCAGATTAAAGGGACTGGTCATTTTTTATCAAGGGGAGAGGCTGTTGCAATATTAAATATGCTACGCTTGATTTTTGCTGACGCCCCCTCTCCTTTAAGCATGATTTTTGCTTAAACCCATGCATAAAAAATGCTGACCCACCCCCTATTTGCACCAGCCCCCCCTCTCGATAAATAATGACCAGTCCCAAATAATTGTCTATACTTCAGTCTATAAGAGTAGATCTTGGTTTTTTGAAGGGCAGGGATGAGTGATCCAGGTACTAAATTCTTATCACCTGTACTTGTCATATTATGTAAGTATGTCATCATTGGCATTATATTCAAGTATCAATAAAATAATATGTAAAATTTATTACTGTTCGCTTGTGCCACAAGCCTACAAATTAGTGCCAAACATTAGACATTTGTCTTGATCATATCATTTTAAAATTCTGTCTGAAACCAGAGGGAAGCAAGACCTCTTGGTCAAAGGGGGGGTAATGCACCACTTTCCCACCAACTACACACATACACATTTCATCATTTAGTGTCTCTTGCTATATCTACAGCTTTAGTCAAACTTTGCCCCCCCCCCCCCTCACTCCCAATGCAGCCTGTGGTACATGTTAATAATTGCTGTTTGTGTGTTCATGTACAGCTGTAGAGGTTGGGGCTAACTACACTAAATGGGGGGAGTTAAAGTTTGATGTTCTGTCATAGTATGCTTGAATACTGTTTGTAAATTGGATTTAACTGTTTTTAGTTGCAGTCAATTGGACGGCAAGGATACTGTTTGGACAGTCCTGGCCAGTCAAGTCAGAAAAGAGCACAGGTGGTGCTTCATAACTGTGATGAAATTAATTCTAAGGTACAGTATAACGTCTGTATAGTACAGTATAACTACTTAGTTGATGAATTCACTCAGTCATGGAATAAACAGAAATGAATCAATCTAGGTATGAATTTGCTTTCATTCCTAATGTTCTGCTCCAGCGATACATGTAGTTACTATTTTATTGTACAAAATAGCTGCAATTTAACAATAATTAAATTTGTGGTTTTGATTCACAGATATATGACTCACAGTACTGAGGCCCAAAACATAAATTTTTATATGTGTTTACTAAAAGCTTGTTATTCTGTACGTAGTATTGGTCATTTAATGAAGACAGAGAACTAAAACTTGATGGCTTGTTGTGTTTGGAGGCTTCCATTGTACGAGTTAAGAAAAGTATCAGGATTATGAAATGCCATGGCCAGGGAGGAGATCAGGAATGGAAGTATATGAAGGTAATATCAATAATATTAAAACCTTAGTTCATATATATACTGGCCCCTTGCTTTTCACCACAGGAAACCCAGAAAGGGCACAGTGGTTACAGGAGTCACAATACATAGTTTGTTTGTGAAATGTGATGATGGCTATCAAAAAAACTGTAAACTGGAATGAAGTGAGGCAATTTTGTCCAAAAATGCAAACAGTGACCATCACATCTAATCTTGGAATCAAAGATTTTTTAATCAAACTAAATGACAACAATAAAAGAATTGGTTTAGATTTTTTAATTTTAAAATGTTTAAGTTTTTTTTTTTCATGACAACAGTTTCCATGGAAATTATTAATTTATATAATAAATATATGTCTTAAAACTGAAGACAAAGGGAAAACTCAGACAAACAAACTTAAAATTTACTTTCAGCAGAAAAAATTCATGTTATTTTATTGCAGTAGATCATTGGTTGTCAATGATAAGGTTATTATTCTAACTTTAAGTCAAAAAACAAAATCAGTTCGTTTAACAATATGATAATGTTAAACTGAATGTAATGTTTGTCTGAGTCTTAAAGTTATTTTTAAAATCTGTTCGCCGTGCTATTGAATAACGACTGATAATTAATTAATATCTCAGACTGTTTTATTGTTTTATTCGTTTTTTAGAACAAGAATCTTCTTTATCATGCATCAACTGGTTTGTGCCTGACTCTAGGTGATGGATTTAATATTGAAATGGGAATTTGTAAAAAGAATGAAGAAAAGCAAAAATGGAAATTTGTTTATTAAAGCAACATACAGTAAGGATAGAGGCAACTTAAAATTCATCTATCAATAATCATTATCGGAAAAATGTTTTCTAGAAAATATCCCCTTTTCTAATGCAGAATCTTTCACACGAAATCATTTTCTTTTAAATAAATATTTTTGAAAAATTTGAAAGAGTTTTTAAAAGATAAGTTGGACAGCAATAATGGCCAGCCCTATATATATAAATTATACACATATTTATCATATGACCTGTATATGCCCGGGCGCACATGCTCTTAAAAATGATATTAGCAGGGCCATACGGCTTTGAGCAAGCAGGGCCGTATGAATCCATACGGCCCTGCTCAAAACCTGCAACTGTATTGACATAATTTGACATAACTTTTAAAATATCTTTTTTATTTAGGGTCATATAATAAAATGCTTATCGACTAAGTTAGGTCGGGCAGTACAGGAAAATATTTGGCTCTCGGTTATTTGTACAGACCTTGCTGTGCTCAGTCCATACAGCATCACCTCAAGCCAAATATTTTCCTGTATGGCCCTCCCACTCAGTCAAGAAATACATAGTATGCAATGCCAGTCTACAATCTTTGAAAAAAAAGTTTAGTTGCAAAAATGGAAAATTTGAAAGTAAACTCTTTTTTCTGATCAATCAAATATCTTGTGATGTGAATCTTGTGTGATATAGGTCTATTATATAAGCATGACATTATGTCCTCTTTGTCATATATAGGTTGTGTAGCAGCTCAAAACAGATGGTGATGGGGAGGGGGTCAAGGTTTCTTACAGCCCCCAACCCCCCATCCATTTTTGGCTACTACACAGGCTATAGCCGTTTGTGCACAATGATCCACACAGAATATTCATATCAAGATTTATAAATATAATCTGCTCTGGCTGTAAGGATTGCATTCTTGAGGTAAATAAATGCACATTCACTTTTGCTCGCTGCATTATATACACATAATGTCCAAATTCAAATCAAATTTCATAAAGAAAATAAAAAAAGAAGATACCTTTAAACCCAAATACCTGATGTTGCAATAATTTTGCTTTGTGCTTTGGAATTCAAAACTACAAATATAAAATGCAGATTGAAATGTCCTATACTCATAATGGAACTTAAAATGAAAGCCTGCTATATGTTATACTGAGAACGTGCTTTGAGAGTGAAAAATGATAAGACTGTTCTGTTACCTATCCCATATTATATTAGTATTCTGGAGCTAGAGACTCCCTAAAAGTGTGCGTGTTGGAGTTGGGGGATGGCGATTGAAAACTTCATGGTAAGAAAACAGATTTGAAAACTCTATTGGTTAAAAAACAGAAAAATCTTTCATCCCAGTACTTATTCCCTATCCTATAACCCAACCAAGGCACTGGGATTTTACTAGAGGAGGGATAATAGCAGATACTAGAATTATACTCATTGCCTCAGGGGCGGCAGAACACCCTAAAAAGTGTGGGGGGCTAAGATTGGAAAACATATGAGACCAGTATGGGAAAAAGTGGGGGGGGAGGGCTAAGATTGGAAAATATAAGAGACTAGTATGGGAAATGGGAAAAGTGGGGGCTGTAGCCCCCCTGCCCCACCCCCTCCACAGCCCCTGTGCCTTCAAACAATATCATTGTGTCTTTTGGGTCAGTCTTTATATATTTGCTATAAAATACCCGAATGTCATGCCTTGACTTGGAAAAATCATTTGAAGGCAATAGAATGTAACTAATATTTGCTATTGGTATATGGTTGCATTGTGTCAAAGAAAAAGGGGAGGGGTTGGTAACATCTCTGATATGTGGCATGATTTTACTAGCTGGCACTCCCTCCCCACAAATGCAGTGACCGGTAATATACCCCAACCCTAACAAATGCAAGCCTGTTGTAGTGTATGTATACTTAGCTACTTACCAGCCTTCTAGATACACAGCCATCCTTAGTTGTCTATTTCAGGGGCCACGGAGCACCCTAAAAAGTGGGTTTTACAAACATTAGCACTGTGATGTTAATTTGCCAACCATTATCAAAATAGTTTTTGCTTAGTTGCTTTGTTTCATCAGTAAATCAGATTTCTGGTTGGCACACTAATGACTAGCTTATATCACAGCAATTAGATATAGCCCTATGGGTCATCACTATTAAATCATGACGGCCCATGTCTTAGCTTCTCATGCCCCAATAAAAAAACTGGTTTGAAAAATGTCTTTATACTAAACCTTTCTTGAGATGTCTGTCAAAACGTTTTAGCCAGATCAGATATTTCAAATGCAAAAGAGTTGAACAACAAATTCAAAACCAAATTCAATGATTCAAAACCTTTCCAAAAAAAATATTTTTTACTGACCTCCACTGGATTTGCTTTCTAATCTGAAGTCTTCCCACTCATACCGACACTTCTACCAGTAATTTGGTCACAGTTACCAAATATGATGTCTCTAACTGTAATGGTCACCCTGTGTCTAACTGTAAAAAATATGTGCATCAAATGCATAAGTAACCATTTCTACCTTTCGTAGTATCTTCCTTTCCGAGATATCCACAAAATCAAGTTCTTTTCTTGATATTTTGGCGTGTAAAACTTCCGCGAACGTGGAAACTAAACGGGAAATTTTCTCACTATATATTCAAGAGTTGGTCACCCTGTGTCTAACCGAGCCCTCTGTCCAGTGCAAGCTCTGGCCAGCTGTGTATCCCCACTCAGCGTCCAACACGTTTGTTGTCTATCTTTTTGTTGTTTTTTTGCCAACTTTTTTTTTTGTTTGTTTTCCTTCCTGAAGTATCCGCAAAGACATGGAATCCTTTCATAAAAGGTACTTGAGAATGTGCCGGGAACATCAAGTATTCCCTCTAGAGTGCGTAATGAGCCAAGTTTCCAGAGAATACGGCGAGGGAAGCAGAACTTTGGACTTGTCTTCGTATAATCTGACTCCTGAAGATTGTCACGCTCTTGCATCGTCTCTTACTGACGACTTGTTCTTCAAAGAAATAAGCTTTGCAGATTGTTTACTCAGTGAAGAGTCCTGCAAACTTATTCTTCTAGGTCTGACGCAAAACAAGTGTTTGACAAGTTTGAATTTGAAGGGGAATAATATCCGTAGTGGAGGAGCCGAAGTGCTAGGACAGTTTTTGAAAAGAAATACCAGTGTTCATAGTCTTCAGTTGGAGTGGAATTCTCTTGGTTTATGGGACAGTGGAATAGCAGCTATAGCAGAGGGTCTTGCTTTAAACCAAGTGCTGTTGATTCTTGATTTGAGAAATAATCAGATCACTCATGAAGGAGCTGCTCTTTTGTCGGCTGCCTTGAAGAGAAATCGCACGTTGAAAGGCATTGATCTGCGCTGGAATAATATCGGTATCCTGGGAGGAAGAGAGCTTCTTTCTGCTTTCAAATACAACAAAACCCTCACATGCATTGAATTAACAGGTTTGTCAGCTTTCTTTGCTTTTTCTCCCACAGCAAAAATCAACATTCCTGCTAAATCCTATTTATTTACTTCTCTTTCAGTATATTTCAATGTACTATTTTGTATTGTAATGATACCGCATGAATCCAGGAAAATCCTGAATCTGAGCATGTATAGAAACCCGTAAAACTTTCATTATTGGATAATTATATTTAATTTCACTTGATAGTCTGGTTTTGTTAATGGAAGACTGTAATGCATGTTATGCTGTTTCTCGATAGCTGATGGTTAATGTGCATTATTAATGTATGGTGTCACAAATTATTCTCTTTGTCATCAATTGTAGGTAATAACATACCGCAAGACATATTGAAAGCTGTCTCCGTGGCAACCAAGCAGAATGCTGATCGAGAAATTCTAGATGAAGAACACAGAAACAGAACAGAAATGATGGCTAAGGAATTGGAAAAAGCTGAAAATCTTAAGATGAAAGAGGTAGATTCTTAAAAATATAATCATAATAATCACAATCTGAATTTTTTGTGTTTGAATAGCAAACAGCAAATAAAAAACTTTTTTTTCTTGTGCTTCTTTTATGGTTACCATGGTAACTCATAGATGTCTGGGTTTTTGGTTGGAATTTAGTTTAAAAAAGTTGTCAACTGAGTTAAATTTTTGATGAAAAGAAAGGTCACCATGGTTTCTGTCATTGCAACAGTTTATAAACATTCCATAAGTTATATTACTAGACAGGGACCATGGAGCACCCCCACCCCCCAATAATTTTGCCACCATATTTTAAATAACTTGTTTGCTATTTAAATATCAATAGCCAATGCAATAAATATGTTGTAAATACCCCTCAAAACACTACGAATTACATTTCCAAGGATCTCAGTTTTCATAAACATTTTGGGCAGGGCCTGCACTCGAACCCCTAGATGTACCTAGATTTGGAGGTTGTTAGCCCCCCCTCCCCAATTAAAATTATGCTCCACGGTCGCTGCTAAAAAGTACTTCCCATGTACTAGGTTGATCTCAGTTTCTATGTTCTATAATTATTGTTTATGAACCCAACAATGATTTGTAATTTGAGTGCATGATGGACTCAAGGGACAGAAGCTAATCAACATAACTGGAAACAGCATAGCAAGCGAATCAAAACAAAATCAGAATTTATTAAATAACCATTCTTTTGAATGTGAATTCATGACAAAATGTGCAAAATATTCACTCTATTGAGTTTTATCATTGTAATAATTTTATAATTGTTTAATAGATAACATAATCTAATATTAAATTACTTTTTTAGGTGCTTTCACTAAAAGATGAGATTGATAAAGAACGCACCGAGCATGAGCTTTACTGCAGCACTACTCAGAAAAAGATTGATCAACTAAAGAGTACTTTAGATGAGAGAAAAAATGCCTTTGATTCTCTCTCTGCCAAACTGACAGCAACAGAAGCTAAGCTTTCACTTGCTCATCAAAAATGCAAAGATCTTGACCACCTGTGTGAAAATCTTAAAAAGGAGCTTCATAATGAGCGTGAGGAGAGAACCAATTCAGAGCTGCAACACCACAAAGAATTAAACAAAGTGCTGGAGAAAAATATAGAATTGGAGGCCAAAGTAAATCAGTTGGAAAGGAAAAACAAATCCTTACAAATGAACACCAATGATTTGGAAAGAGAGATAGATAAACTGAGTGCAGATTTTTCGCTCAAAAGTAAAGAGAGTGACCATTATTTTCAAAATGAATTGAGGAGTACGAAAGAAAGGCTAGAGAAGGAATTGAACGGAATTCATCAAAAAATGTCAGAGAGCAGCCAGAGCACAAGGGAAAAGATCCAAAAAATTGAAGAACATCGAAACTCTTTAGAGAGAGAAGTGAGTAGCTTGAAGTCTGAGATTGTTTCAATTAAGCTTCAAGGAGATGAAGAATTAATGAATGTAAAAAATCAACTGAAGCAAGATGAGATTATAAGATCAAAGCAATATGAAGAACGAATTAATCTAATACAAGCGTCTAGAGATGAGCTTCAGACTCAGTGTACTAAACAGCTTGCACAAATCTCGGATCTTCAGTCACAAGTTATTAATAGTACAAGAGAATGCGAATCACAAAAAAGGCAACTAGACTCATTAAAGCAACAGATGGAACAGAAAGACTTTGAGCATAATAAAGAAGCAACCAGATTGAAGCTAGAACTAGAAGCAGAGAGAAAGAATGCTGGGGAGCTAAGAGATAAAATGTCAAAGTTAGAAGACAGATTGACAGAAGAAACAACAAGGCATAGAGAATCATTAGCAGCAAAAGAAAGCGAGATCAAATTTCTTAATGATCAACTGAAAAACAAGGATGGTGAACTGAAAAGACATCATGATGAAGAACTAAAAAGAGCAGAAATGCTGGAAAAAGCTATCTACAGCTTTGTCTCAAGCACAAGAACTTCAGGACACTAAAAGTTCCTACATATAATCCTTGAAGGATTCCTCTTAGTGACATATGCTTAGAAGTGCAATATTTTCATAAAGCTGAAGATTTTTTTAAAAAAGCAAATTTCACAAGTCATGGTGAAATAACTGTTTTCAAATAACATGAAACAAAAATTCATTAGGGATAATAAAATATACTCCTATTCCAAAAAGTTTTGTCCAGGCCAAAAGCTAAGAGCTGACAACCAAAATGAATGCGGGATTCACATAGAGCTGGTTGTTCTTTGGCTTCTACATTTTAATTAAAAACATTTATAAATATTTTATTAACCTTCAAGAAAAGATAAATAATTTTAAAGTAAACTTCTATCAAGTTATAATGGCTTTTTAGTTTTGATGACACACATACGTATATTTATAAATGTTTTCGTTTTGGACCTAAAAGTAGTTTTTTTTACGCACGCTATTTTGACGTCACTCTTAAAATCTTTCCAGTGATGAGTTTCCTATTATGACGTCACTATAAACATGACGTCATTAACACTCCAATTATGACGTCACTAAACATATGCATGACGTCTTAAGCACGTTGATCGCAATTGGATCAAGATGGTAAAAAATCTGATGGTTTATGGAGTGGTAGTTTTAATCTTTCTAAGCCAATGTTCATATTACGGTAAGTGTGTATGTCACTCATGAGAAGGATCATTTTAGCTTCTTTACTTCATGAAGGAATCAAGACACGGGATGAAAATCGAGTTGAAAACGTTTTGTAAATTTTTCAGCGAAAGAACAAAAATTGTTTTAATTTATTTTTGAAACAAAATTTTCTTAACAGCATTTCAGGGCTCCTTCACACTAAGTCCATTTTATATCGATCTAGTTGGGATAGATCCGAGATCGATCCGAGCTCACTTTTCGAAAGCGTTCACACTACCAAAAAAAATCCAAAAGCAAAACCCTAAGATCATGTTTCCATATATCAGATAAACTTTGACAATAGATCAAATTTATTAATATGCACTTTCCGTTTACTTTTACTAAACGCATCCCACATGGAAAGGAGTGAGTGTGCGTTCAAAGCCATCAGAGTCACAATCGAGATTTTTAAGTTTATGCTAATCATAACAAGGGGTTAATCATCTTTTGCAAGTAAGCTCACGATTGCCGATAGTTGGTGAAGTTTTTCTTTACAAGTCGGTGTAAGAATTCAAGTCCAAGATCTGAGATTCACAGTTCAAGATTCAAGGCTCAAGATTCTCAAG